GAGAGAGAGAGAGAGAGAGAGAGAGAGAGAGAGAGAGAGAGAGAGAGAGAGAGAGACTTGGAACCGAGGGGATAGGCCGATCATACAAGGCAGCGCGGTGGTCTCGACGGATGCTGGCGCAGTGTGGTATCTGTCCAGCGCTCTGGATGTGAAAGAGAAGGGATTCAACGAGGCGCGGGTAATCGGCGGAAGTAACTATGACTCTCTTGAGGTAGCCAATGCCTCATCATCTAATTAGTGATGTGCATGAATGGATTAACGAGATTCCAATTGTCCCTAACTACCATGCTGCGAAACCACAGCCAAGGGAACGGGCTTGGAAGAATCGGCAGGGAAGGAAGACCCTGTTGAGCTTGACTGCAGGTGTCGGACTCTATACATCGAGCGCAATGTGATTTCCGCTCCGTGCTCGGGACGCCAAAGTGAGGAGGTTCAATCAAGGGCGAATGAACGAAGGACAGGCGCGCACGAGCGGGCGGGCGCAGGAGCGTCGAGTCACAGTCCGACTTAAAAGCTCGCCCTGACCGGATTGGACGGGATCATAATAGATCCGGACTTGGACCAGTTCAGATCGGACCCGGGCCAAACCAGATCAGACCAGAGCATTCAGACCAGACCAGGCTGAGAACAGACCACACCAGCCCATATCCGATCCGGGCCAGACCAGGTTAGACCAAAGCATTTCAGACAAGACCAGGCTCAGAAAAGACCAGACCAGCCAGATCAGGCCGGGCCAGACCAAATCAGACAAAGATTAGACTAGATCATACATGACCAGAGCAGGGAAGACCGCTTTAGATCAGACCGAACCACACCTGGCCAAACCAGATCAGATCAGACTTGATCTAGTTTAGACCGAACCAGATCAGACCAGACCGGGACAGACCGGACGGAATCAGACCAGGGCAGACCGGACTAGACAGGATCACACCAGAACCAGACCAGACTACATCAGACCGGATCGGACCGAACTGAGCGGGAACAGACCACACGAGAGCAGACTGCTTCAGACCGGATCAGATCGGACTGGCAGGCCATATCAGGTCAGGCCGGACTAGATCGGCTAAGGCAGATTGGACCCGGAACAGACACGGACCAGAGCAGACCACACTGGATCCGAACAGGTCAGACCAGATCAGATTGGACCCAACCGTACCGGATCAAACCAGTTCAGGCCGGTTCAGACTAGACCAGGCAGCATCACAACAGACCAGATCAGACCCGGTCAGGCCGTATCAGACCCGGACGGACCACATCAGACAAGATCAAACCAACCGGACCAGACCAGATTTAGACCCAGAACGGGTCCTAGTCGCGCACCCGGGTGAACCAAGATATCGCCTCTCCGACAACAAGTGTCGAGCCTATTTGTCGTGTCAAGCCTGTTTCATGACAGGGGCCCGGTTCCGTTGGGACTCATACGGATTTTACAGACCCGTGCTATGGGCGAGACCCAGGGCCTGGTCGCAGTGCGAACTATCATACTATTTTGAACTAAATCAAAACATTCATTTCGATCATTTCTACAAATTGTTTTGTCGTCAGCAGTTTCCTGCCTTATATGACGGTGTTAGCGTATTTTGGTGATACTGACGAGGTTGATTTCTTGCAGGTTACAGGAGCCCCGACCAACCCTCCCGTGGGTGATAGATGCGGCGCGAGATTTAGGGTTTGGTCGGCGTGCCGGCAGACCCCTTCTACCGGTCGACAGTGGCGTCGTTGCCGGCGAAGGCTGCCTCTCGGGACTTTGGTCCACCTGTAACCATGGGGACGTGAGAGGATCAGGAGGGGAGCACGACTAGAGCGCAGCGGACGACAAGCAACTAGCCAACCGGTGATCGGCATGCTCCGGTGAGACGTCGATTTTTGCAATGCTCGTCATATTCTTGATTTTTGCATTTGGTGATCTCATGCATTTCTTCCTTTCATCCTTCTTGTGATTGTGATCGAGCGAGATAATTCTGGTTTTTTCCCTACCCTTTGGTCAGTTTACCCCGATCTGACTCCAAGAGAGAAAATTATAAGCAGGGGAAGAACTGGAAGGACTTAAAGGGAGGGGCGAAGCGCCCCGGATTGAAAGGAGATGGGCGAGACTAGATAGGCTAGAGGATCATGATGGATAGTTGGGGGTTGATACACCGCACGAGTCGGGGTGAGACCATGCCTGAGGTGGGCCGAGTAGAGGCATGGATAGGAATGAGGATGCACAAGCAAGACACCGTCACTTCGTTTGCGTGTGACTTCGGTCCACCCTGAGACGGATGAGTCGGCCAGCTTGTGTCCAGGTTGCGGCGGAGATGGCAGGCCAACGACGATGGTACGTTGGACAATCCTCCTTCTCGACATGAGGGTAGGGAGAGATACGCCAGAGGGCGGTTCTTTCCTAGGCCTGTTGACGTCTTGAGGGGTTATAGGAGTGTTCGACGGGGTCTGTCGTGTGGGTCTATGACCTCACCAGTCGAGAGTGGGATGCACAAGCGTCGGAGAGAATATCGTAACCATTTGTTCATTGATTAGTTGGGTCGACTGATAAACTGGATGGGACGCGAATGAAATTGGGGAGTACTTATCATATGATGTTAGTTCTAGGAAGGAGATACTACGGAAAAGGGGAACGACCCTGAGAGAAAGATGCGGATGAAGAGTTCTGATGCAGGACAAAAGAGAATGAGGTGGAGTGGCGTCGAGATACCAGGGAGGGAATCACCAAGGGGGAAGTTTCATGGCCCGTATGGGAGACACCAGTATCCGATGATGAGTACACAACTGTTCGGTCCCACCTATTATCCTCCTTTATTCGTCGGGTCACCCTTCTACTTTACAGGACATCGGGTAACAGAGCACCTTGATGACTGGGAAATTTTTTGCCTTGAGAGCAGGATAGACTGATCGGGAAGCGATAATGGGATTCATTAATCACACGGATCTCAAACTAGACAAAGATGTGCGTGCTGCTATATCCGAGGATTCGGAGTGGGCAACTTTCAGAAAACGATTGTCTCGGACCTTTGCTTTCGACGATATCTCGTACTCGATTGATGACATAAAGAAGATGAAGAAGGAGGAAAGAGAGACGTTAGTGGTGTTTGCGAGACGCTTTGAAACGGCTTCTGAACCATTGATAGAAAATGGGTTTCTCAGTGAGATAGAACGATGCGGTACATTCATAGGGACTCTACCTATCAAGAAAAGAGAGTTTGTTATGGAGAACATGCCCACTAAAGGGGTGTCGTTCGCAAAGACAAAGGCATTGGCTTTGCAGACTGGGGGACCAGATGCCAAAGCTCATCTACTTAGGGTATTGGAGAAACTACGGAAAGAAGTACCAGGAAGTCATTTAGGAAAACAATTCGTTGATGAGGATGAAAGAGAGTTCATGCCGCCTGATAAAGGTAGAGTAAGTAGAGATAGAGGGAAATGGAAAGGAGTAAACCGCGGCAACTGGAAGAAGAACGACGATACGGGATTTTAAGATAGGCGTTGGAGAAATAGAGAAGAAGAGGAAGAACAAAGGAGATCATATAGCGAAGGATGGGAGACGATCGAGGAGATTGAAGCCCTAAGGGCCGAACGATAGAGGGTGAAGAGAATGAAGAATGTCTCACCTCGAAGGAGCGCGGAATCGTTGGAGATTCCCTTACAACAAGAGCCTCAGGGCAGACGGCCGAATGACCTTGAGAAAACCGTCGAGCGGAATGATAGAAGAAAAATCAAATGCGCAAATGATGAGAAAGATATATCATGCGGACCTTCTACGAAGATGAATACTGACTTTAAAACAAGAATAACCCAGGACTCGAGGTGATTCAGGACATTCAGGGAGAAATCCAGGTGCCAAGTATCAGGTTTGAGGAGAACCGGTATACAGAAGAGAATAAAGAGGAAGATACACTCTGCCTAACTTCCACGGAGATGAATATTGGCATTAAAGCGATGACATCGGAAGAGCCAGAGCAGGGAGAGTTATGGGTATCAAGTTTTCGGGTTTAGGAGGACCCAGACCCGAATGATAGTTTGACGGTTGGGGTTTTCAGTATTCGGTTCGAGAGTTGCGAGAAGGATTCTGATGCAGCTCTAGTGTGTGCTAAGAAAGTGAGTGAGGAATCAGATGAAAATGAAGCCGATAATACTAGCCTTGATAATAAAGTCTCGCCGAGGGGCGAAGGACCGAAGGTTATTCAGGAGACATGGGAAGATCAAACCACGACACTGGAAGTGAAACCAAAGATTGAGGAATGTGGACGCCTGAAGAAGATTGGCGATACTCATAGCAAGGGAACAGGGGATTCAGACACAAGCTATGAGTTTGCCTCAGCGTTTAAGTTTGTAGAGCCGGATATCAGGTATGAGCTGGCTCAACTTTCCGAGACCATCGAGCCGGACGTCAGCAATGAGCTGGCGCAACTGTTTGGGACCATCGAACAAGATGGCGATTATGACTTAGCTAAGCTCTTTGAGGCCTCCGAATCGGATATCGACTATGGGCTTACCCAACTGTTTGAGACCGTCGATAAATATAAAAACAATGTTGAGAACTCTCTAGAGACAACAATGAGTCGTAATCTGGCAACTACGAAAGATATCGAGGGCTCCCGAATGGATCAATGCAAGTTAATAAGTAAGTGCGATGTGATGAGTATTGAGGGAGAATTCATTGACTGTTTGGGGGGTCAGCGGAGTGATAACCCACTCGCGTTTGACCAAGAAGGTGAAGAAAGGACTATGATGGAAGTGAAAATTATTGCGGATGCCGACAGTCCGGAAAACAAGTCAATGAGAATTATGAAAATGTCAGGGCTTGAAGAGAGATTGGAAGCGGAGAAACCGGCTGTGGATGTGAAGAGGTTCGAGGACAAGGACTTGGTCAAGACTGAAAATTGGATAGCAGGTTAGGGAATGGTGGTCGAGACACGAGATTGGAATGCGGACTTGGTTCTTTTTTACCTCTTGCTGTTGACCTTTGTCTCTGCGTGTGCTCGTGCATGCTGTAGCAGGTGCAGCTACTCTAGCTTCACGCAATCAGTTTACGACGTTTTCATAACTAGTTGCCCCTTTGTCTTCGACCTCTGTGGTGGTGTGAAGGGGGGACTATACTCCTTGGTGGGGATATGGATCAGTCTGAGCCTGCCGTGCGGGTTTTTTTCTATGAAGCCGACAAAGTCTTTCTATACTCCCTTGATGCTCTCATGGAGCGGATGGAGACGAGATGAGAGGAGGACGAAGGCGCTCGAGAACGAGGGTGGTGGACCTAAAAGGTTCCAAAACCTGACATTGAAAGCGGGAGGCGGTCTACCATTTATTACACTGATAAAGTCGACCAGAAAGTGTAGAAGCGGAGGTGGACCCTACTTCCACAAGTGGCGAGACAAAACCAAAGCCCGTTGGAGCCTGGCAACGCGGGAGTGGTTGAGAGAACAAGCCAGGGATAAAAAGCGAAAAGCAAAAAGAAACGAAGGTGGAAAGAGAGGTAGAAAAAGGAAAAGAAAGAAAGAATATCATGAGAGGAATGTGTTTTGGGGGATTGATCGGGTATGGATTAGGTGTCGGCCGACTAATTTCTTCCTCGGTAATAATGAGACAATCTCAAATTCGATGGCTCGACAGGGACATCGAGAATGGGGTGGGGCCTGCTGTCGGGCGGCTCAAGCCTTACGACGCCCTTTACTTCCTTCAAAGAGACTACTGTCGAAGGTCGGATTTCGCGCGGCGATATTTTCCAGTGTGTTTTTGTCTTGCAACCGAGCCGACGGAAACAACTGACGTATGGTGGTTGGACAATATGGGAAAACCAAGCCCAGAAAAGACTGTGGCGGAATGCGGACCGAGTAGGGTGGGATTTTCCCTGGAATCAACTATTGTCAGATGAACTATTAATATAATTGAAAATAGGGAATTTTAGTACGAGACAGCGACGTGCCTATCAGGTGGCTGAAATCACCGCGGCCGTTGGAATATAGCTACCGGAGAACGGTGTCTTACAGGCTCACACCAAACGTTCAGTTGATGCGGGTCGAATAGGGGACGAGACCGACGGCGGGAACTGGGGGAGATGGAAAAAGAGCCCTCAGTCCGTGACTTCATTTCCAAGGCCGGGCCCGAGGAAATTGGTGAGGTCTTGATACTTTCCGCGTGGGGACCGCTAAGGCCTGAATAGGCTCGGGCTCAGGCTCGGAAAGAGCCCCGATACCAGGGCGCTGCAAAAGGCCCGGTACCCAACAAAAAGGCCCTCTTCGCAAGAGAACCTTTCAACGGCCCAAATAGGCCCGGGCCTAGGTTCGGGAGGAGGTACGATACCAGGGCGCTGCAAAGTTCCCGACACGGATTGGTCGCTGGCTGCTGGAAGCTGGTACCGTGGGACCAGTAAACTTTATAAGCCCAAGAGGGATCATTCTCAAGGGGACTCTCACTTGCGCACAGGAAGGGCGCACGGGCTGGCACACGGGAGTGCGCTGGCCCCTCGCGCACTAGTTCCCGGACGGGGGAACGTTTGGAACGCACGAGCGAACAGGCACAGTCGTGCACCTGAAGCGCACGAGGGCCACACCTGGGAAAGGGCTGATCAGCAGCGGACGAGAGGACACCAGCGGAGGGGGTATTCGGACTGGCGCACGGAGCGGTGCACGGGCAGCCACACGAAGTGTGTTGGTCCGGAAACGCACGGACACTCTGCAAGGATAGGCGCACAGGCCTCGAACCGGAGGGAGGCATGGGGTTGGCGAGAGGTACGTGACCGCGGACAGGTGCATGGAGCGGGAGCGCGAATGGGAGGATGACCAATGGGAATGAGCGGAACAAGGGGGCACGCGTACTGGTCGAGGGAAGGGAACTAATCAGCGGCCACATCGCGTGGATGAGGGAGCGCCATTTTTACAAGGATCATTGTGCAGATGACCGCGCGCCATCACAAGTAGGACCAGGCATGCAGGTCATCGGACACGATTACTAGATTCCCAGTCTCTTTCTACCATCTTGCGAAACTACAAACGAAGGAACGGGCAGCGCAGGTACGAAGAGAGCCACGTGGCTGAGAGAAAGGGAGCAAGAGGGAACGTCACTAAGCGAGAGGGTTGGTTATCGCCTATCGGGAACAAGAGAGATCGAAGCAAGAGAGGGAAGGGAAACGAGTGCAAGTTGATGGAGGTACGTGCGAATCGTTCATCGGACTTGGATAGAAGGGCGAAAGAGCAGGGGTGAACCTGGGACCGGATACTCGCCAGGTACGTTCGATGCCAAGAACGAAGATCCTGACGAAGCGGGATATGGCGCAATGGAAAGGGAGTGCCACGCCATCTCTTAATGAAAACAGGCAAAGGAGGAGTCGAAATTGGGGTTCTAAGGCTGGGGGAATCTGATGATGGGGTCAGATTTGGGGATGAGCGGGTAGTTTCAGCGCTACAAGAGTGAAAGGGTCCATTGCATGTGGCGGAGTTCGATGGGAGATGAGAGTGTGTGGGAATGGCGACTGAGACGGCGAGAGAGTGAGAACGAGCATGCGCGCGCGCGCACGAGAAAGAGAGAGGGAGAGAGAGAGAGAGAGAGAGAGAGAGAGAGAGAGAGAGAGAGAGAGAGAGAGAGAGAGAGAGAGAGAGAGAGAGAGAG